TTAAACAAATAATCTGCCCGAAAACGCGAAGAAATATGTCACTAGAATTTAATTATCGCGCGAGAAAGGAGTCCGGATCAAATTCCTCCGCGGAAGGGGGAGCGGATCGATCGACGAGCGAGTGATTCCGCGCGCGCGCGTTTCCGCGGAAGTCAACACGGACTCGCAAAAATCAGATCATCGCAGCTCGAAGGTTGCCTCGCTGGCTCTAGTTCGATATGGCGCGTTCAAAGCGCGCACACACCACACCACACGCATACTCGTACACACACATGTACACCCACATCAAAACGGAGAGAGGGGTCCTGGGGTCCTGTTCTGGACGCGTGGCGAACGTTGAGAGTGCCCTTTTCATCTCGAAGAATCACGCAGCTTCAGCCGGAGAAGCAGAAGAAGGGTGTGTTTGGCGTTCGGCGCGCGTCCAGGATCGCGAGGACGCTCTCGCAAGGCGGCCGAGACAGCCTCTCACCGAAATTCGGCGGCCCCCGTGTCTTTCTTTCCTTACATTACGTACAAGGGATATGAAACTTCTTCTCTCTGACGCCTTTTTTGATCATCGAATAGAAAACGCACGATATCGCGTGGACACGACATGAGACAATATGAGCGCGAAGGTGAGCGCTAATTAATGATTAAAGCTTCGGCCTACTATCGTACGTTGGTGTTAGAATCGGAACTGCCGTCGTATGTGTGTGTGTGTGTGTGTGTATGTGCGTGTGTTTGCTCCTCTCCGGAGTGACTCGGTACTCGAATACTCGAGAAAGCGGCCGCTGCCTCGCTCGACACGTTCCTCTTCTTGCTTTCTTGCGATACGATCGGCGGCGACTCGGCGAATAATCACTTTATACACTTGAGGTAATTTCCGCGTGTCGTTTGATTGTCCTATGGAGAGCGATTTCCCTCTTTCTCTCTCCCTCTCCCTCCCTCCCTCTCTCTCTCTCTCTCTCTCTCTCTCTCTCTCTCTCCCTCTCTCTCTCCGGCAAGTCCGATTTCGCGAGTGTCGGTCAGATGTAAGCGAGTACATCCGACACGCGAATTGTCGTTCAATTTGTCGATTTTCCGCGCTTTCTTTCGCGAAGAGGTTGTCTTTGTGTGGCTGGAAGAGGGAGGGGAGTTTTCGTTGTCGGGCCGATCGACTGATAATGTCGCGCGATTGGCGAGCGAACGAGCGAGCGGAGCGCACAGAAGAGTCTCATTTTCTTTTTTTTTCGGGAATAATTGCCGGCCGGGTATCATAATCGAATATTCGAATACGTCGCACACACCGTGAATCATTCCGACGGCACTGGGTGGAATGCGTCCAGGAACCATACATTTCCGAGTCGGATGCGTTGCAAATTACAAAACGTGCAAGAACACACGCGGGCATGCCCCGACGAGGAGAATCCCCCATGTCGTGAATCCCTCCTCGTGTTACTTGCCGGTGCGAAGGAACGGAGTCATGTGCTATATAAAACGATTTAACGTACGAGCACAAAAGCCCCTCTCTCTCTCTCTCTCTCTTTCTCTCCCTCTCCCTCTCTCTGTCTCTTTCTCTCTCTTTCTCTCTCCCTCTTTCTCTAGCTTTTACCCTCTCCTTCTGTTTCTCGAATCACTCGATGCATACTTACGCGAAATATTGTACATCGAATTACGCTAAAAAAAGCGTCCTTAATCCTCCCACGCGTGACGCGGGATTCGGGATTCCACAAATGCGCGAAGATCAACATCAGGCAAAACGGACAAGTTTCGCACAAGTCGAATTTTTGGGTTGCGAATCGCGCGACGCGATGACGATTCCCGAATCGTTTCTAAAGAGTCGCGGCGTGTATCGCGGAGTGAAATTTTGCAACAATGTTATTACGAATTTTGTATCGTACGATAATAACAAATTGTCAAAGAAGATTAGAAAACTCACGGTTTGCGAGAACGAATTCTTCGCGAGTGCTCTACAATTTCTTCCTTCTTCCTCTTGCCCACCTTCGCGAAAGGTCGCGGCGTAGGGGGATTAATCGGGACGAGAATTATCCGCACGCTAATTCTGACGTGTACAATTATTTAAATTGTATATTATTACACTCTCTACGCGACTACCACTCACCTTTGATATATTACTATATAGTTTCCCGAAAATAACATCCGTACAAAATTGACTATAGCCGATTGCTTTTATGATGTGTGTGTATGTGTGTATGTGTGTGTGTGTGTGTGTGTGTGTGTATTCGAGTAGGTCATTTCACAAAATCATTTCCGTGCGACGACAAAAGTAAAGTTCTCATCGATTATAATCTATGCCTTACTTTATCTTATCTCACTGTTCTCTCCTGCTCTCCTTTTGTTCTATCTCGCTCTGCTCACACTCTCTCACTCTCTCTCTCTCTCTCTCTCTCTCTCTCTCTCTCTCTCTCGTCTCATAAAGATAGGATGTGTATACATATTGACCTGGGATTTTCCGACCGGTAGTGCTAAATTGTGTTCACAGGATTGAGTGAAATGCTCTATGAAGATAAAAAAATATGCGACGAGTATCTGCATAATAAAGATATAATTTCTCTCTCTCTCTCTCTCTCTCTCTCTCTCTCTCTCTCTTTCAATTTTTTGTTATACGTATGTGTAAAGTGCCATTGTTACCCTCTTTCATTTTCTCGCTCTTCTTCGTTGACTGAAACGCGCGCCGCGCCGACCAGTTGACGCGAAACGGAAATCCTACGTTACTACACCGCGAGAGGTGAACTTCCCTTCAAACGACAACTCGCGGTTTACGCCCCTGACAAAAATTGTATAGCGTGAATCGTGCTGTAATCTTAATCAAGCGACTGGGTTCAGCGACGTAAAGCTAAAAAGGGCCGAGTCGTTCCGTCAGCAACGGGTAGGACGACGAAGAGGAGATACTCGTTACTGCCGCGTTCGTGATCGTCAAATCACCTTCCGCGAGATATGGCGTTTCTCTAGGAACGAAATACAGCCGAGAACGTGTAAATTATTTACAAAAGCGCCGGCCAACCATACACCGGCGACGATCGTTCGCGAAGGAGGACGCGAGTCCTGCAAACCGTTCATCAAACGGGGATATGCACTTTGAGCGCGCGGTCGCACACCTCGCGCGCACCTTGTATACTCTCTCGCTGGGACAGAGACGTGAGATAAAGGTGTTTGGTGTTTGGTCCATGGTATAGCTCTCCTACTTTTATTAGTAGTTACTCGTATCGATCACAATATTAACCTCGATATCGTAGTGTGGAACTGAAAACTCGTGCTCGTGGCTGCGCGCGCGCTTGTGACTTAGCTGCTAGAAAAGGATCGTGACAAGTCCTAAGAGATCGTTAGAAAAGGTTGCGGTGCTTGTCGTGGTTACACATAGCAGCGAGCACGCTGTCCGGATCGGCGCTGGACCGCAGGATGATGACGGGAGAGGAATCCTCCACCCGGTATCGCGACAAAAGTAACGTCACTCTCTTAACGCGCTCCGCGCTCTACGGCGAGAATCCACACACCGAAGTGAGTTCGTCAATAATTGAAGAGGCAAAAGAAAAAAAGAAAGAAAGGAAGAGAGGAAAAGGGGAGAGAGATCAAAAAAACGACCGACGAGATTTATTAAAGGGATACGAAAGGAGGAATTTAAGCGAACCGCCCGCGCGAAGAATGCGAAAGTAGCGCGCGAGCGCGCGCAAATGTTATTCGATTCAATCATGAGAGCTAACGAATAACGAATGGAACGGTCCGTCGTTACTAATCTAACTATCTAACTAACTCTACGTAATGTAAAATATCGGTTTTCCGAGAAACTTTCATTTCTCTCTGCCTCTCTCTCTCTCTCTCTCTCTCTCTCTCTCTCGCTCTCTCCTCGCGCACACGCACATACGTCTATACATATACTTGAACAGCAGACAGACGGAACACACACGCACACATACATACACATATACATAGACATGCCTCTCTTGATTTGCCTTACTAAATGAGACTTCATCCAGCGCCGATGCAGACCCGCTCCAAATTTTTTTCGATAATCTCGAAGGCTTTGAACTTGCAAGGATCGAAGATAATGACACCCTGTGTCGAAGGGTAACATCCGGTCGGAGGGAATAATCAAAATTGACGCGGAGGGGTTACTCTTTCTCACTCTCTCTCTCTCTCTCTCTCTCTCTCTCTCTCTCTCTCTCTCTCTCTCTCTCTCTCTCTCTCTCTCTCTCTCACTCACTCTCTCGCTCTCTCGCTCTCTCTGTGTCTCTCTTTTTCTACATATTTTTATCTTATTAGGCCGAAAGCCGTCTTCGAGACGCGCTCCGTCAAATTTCATGTCCAGTCGGGCATTATCCTGTGGTGCAGCGACTTCCATTATTCGCGAGTCGCACATTCGCGGCGCGGAATCGTCCGCGCGTTCTCCCTAATTATTATACCGCGCACACCGCGTAATTGAAGCATTGTTTGCGGGCTTGGTTTTTAGTTACGGAATTCCAGATCCAGCGGAGTGTTAAACCGACACACGCGTCTTCGTCATTCCTCCTCCCTGGCGGCGCTTATTGGTTCTGCCGTCGCCGTCGTTGTTGCAAAATAGACGTTGTTATTACGATGAATTTCGTTACGAACACAATAATCTAGTTTACGCGAATTTAATTACGGCGCCATTTCCGCGGAGCGGCTATTAATATTCGGATATGGGCAAAGTTGAAATTGTTAATGGTACGGCGGTTTTGATTAAGGGCGTTACGAAGTTCCGAACTTGATTCGACGCGTCTCTCACTTTTCCCGATCCGATCCGAAGCGTGAGCGAGCAAGAACGTAATTGCTGGCGATTTGAACCGACGCGCGCGTGAATCGACTCGCGGCCCGGTAACGGCGAGGGATCGCAATTTAACGCGACGCGGCCCGCTATTATATCACGCGAATCGCGGTTGCGATGCGCGGCGACGATCGCGGCGAGAATCTTCACTCGAGCGAGTCCGCAGCTCGCAGTCGCTAATATGCGACTTGGCCGTCGTCATTATTTCACGTGATCGTAGCCCTGTGTGTGTACGAGTAAAAAAAAACAACCACGCGACTTTCGCACGTAGAAAAGCGACGCGGCGTTAATTGGGTTAATTTTACCCGTTCACGAGTCGTATCTAACGAACGAGCTTTCACGCGAGGTCAGTCGCGCACGACCTTCGTTAGGCAGCTTCGACTTCTCACGACGGCACCGGAGGTACCCGGCATGCCCGATCGGTGCAACCGGCCGCAAGGATCGACAGGAAGTCACGGCGTCAAGGATCAATGCCGCGAGGCAAGCGTTAGATACTGCATCGTCGCGTATCTCGGATCAGGAAGAGGAGGAGGAGGAGGAGGAGGAGAAGGAGGAAAAGGAAGAGGAAGAGGAGAAGGAGGAGGAAGAGGAGGATTGGGGGAAGAGGATCGCCTTATTAATATTTACAATAAAGCCGCCTACCACCATTCGATGGCCGCGCTCTCGACGATGGTCGGTCGCCGATCCACTCGATCTCCCTTCACTCGGAGAGTCCCACCGTGGAAGGTTGAGTCTGTACAAAAATGATGAACCGCGCGCGGATCGCCGGATCCGTGGCCGTGAATGCGCGAGAGACAGATGCACTTTCGTAGTAAGGGGTGGCACTCTCCCTCCCGCGGGGGCGCGAGTGCCGCCGCTCGGCTTCGCCAGTGTGTGTGTGTGTGTGTGAGTGTGTTACTTCGTTTCTCTTCCCAGCGTGTATGCGTACTACGCGTGTGTATGTGTGTGTATGCTGTATGTCATAGTTGTCTTGTGTGTAGTGTGTAAATGTATGTGTGTGTGTGTGTGTGTGTATGAGTGATTTCGTTATCCTTAAATTTTCATATCCTAGCTTCGGGCAGGGCCCGACACCACCTGACGTCGGACGGCACGAGTATCTCTCTTTCAGGGGATGCACGAGTGCGTGTTGGTTGCCTGTGCGGGCGACGACAGGGCGACGGAGAAGTCCGAGTCCAACACGAGGTCGCTGATGCAACCCACGATGCCTTTGGCGTATCTGCCGCCTGTTGTCCTCACGATATCTGGCGCACCACCTACGGGAGAGACAGCGAGAAGGTCGGATTTCCGTTTCAAAAAGGAGGAACTGTTTGCTCGCAACTTTTTGCCCGGCGACCGTAGGCGAGGTCGCGAAGCTAACAGTCGCCGACTGTCGACGTTTCCCTCCTCATTTTTTCGCCTTTCTTCGCGATCAAACAAATCGAGCTGCGCTTACAGCGAGGTGTGTAACCGATGTTTGTAAATCTATAGCGCGAGCACTTACCAACGTAAAGGCCGGTATCAGTGTTCAACTGTCTCAGTTGGCCCGGTGAGGATGCCGAGACCCCGGTGCCGCTATCTACCACGAGAGACGCCCATTGTTCGTTTCTGCAAACAGTCGATTTGCCAGTCACTGCGACGCGACGATCCGTTTTCGCGAGACGCAGCGACGCGACCAGCATTCTCTCTCCAGCGTCGCCGTCGCGCTTCAAACCTCTCGGGGCAAGCGGGGCTGCATTTTCTTTTTTCCTACTATTTCTCCCCTCTTTTATTTTTATTTCTACTCCTCGAGATGCAGCGCGACGACGATTCGAACGCGCCCGACTAAAGATTCCGCTGGAATCTCTCTCGGTTGTATTTATCGATCAAGCTCGAATATGGAGGAGCAGCTCGTCTCGAGAGGGTCAATGAATCTCCTTGTGTATGTAGTGAGAATATATGTATATGTATGTATGTATGTGTTTCAATTCCAATAAATCGACTCTCACCTAACCGCCCTGATACGATGCCACAGATCGTCGTCCAGTCGCGTGATATTGTATCGCAGCACGGCTTCCCCGGAGCCCAAATTGTACGCGAGGGTGAGGTAACCGTGATCCAGGCCGAGGGCGAGGAAGTCATCGTTCTCGTCCCTTTGTTCCTGAGGATCCGACTGCCGGCCGCTCCAGAGCAGCAGGCCGCTGCTGCTGCTGGCGCGGAATCTCATGTTGATGTCTACCCTGTAGCTGATTATCCTGCAAGCGTCGACGAGCACATTTAATGGCGAGCGAACGAGAGCTCATAAGGATTGACCTAACGAACGAACAAACGAACGAACGAACGAACGAACGAACCGACCGACCGACCGACCGACCAGCGACGACGTTCGATAAACTAGCTCGACGCGCGATTAAAGCGGGTCAAGGGGCGATTGTGTAACGCAGCGTGCAACGTGCTGTTGTTCAGAGCTTTTGAAACGACACGGCTGAGCACGTGCCGCTTTGACATTTACCGAACTTTTACGTGCTGCCGATTATTTCGCGCGCGCGCGTATTAATAGGATGCCGATGAGCGAAGCGGGCGGGTTTTTTAACACCGCAGAAATGGGTCACGCATGCACGCACGTAACCGAGCAAAAAATTATTAAAGCCATCCTCATGAAGCATAAGGCCCCGGATAAGGCCTGAAAGTAGGATGACTTAAGAAGAGATGCCTCTTATTATTATCACATCAGGCCCCGAGACGGATCTTTTGGGGATGCCTTAAAAATGTACGAAATAAAGCTTTGGTAGGAAGAGTTGAAAAAAGGGCCTTAGAAGGATTTTTTAGGGATGCCTTGGATTTAATAAATAAGGCTTTGATAGAGGAAGCTGAGAAGAGCCTCGGAAGGATTTTTTAAGGATGCCTTAGATTTTACGAAATAACGCTTTAACATGGAAAACTGAGGTGAGCCTTAGAAGGATCTTTTAAGAGAATGCTTTAGATATACAAGATTAAGTTTTGTTATAGAAAACTAATTAGATCTGAAGCGTAATAAAATTGTCGTAGTTTAATGTTGTTTTAACAGATACGCTCTCTATCTATGGTTCTTTTAAAGATCTTTTAATTACACCGCAATTGAAAACAAATTTTATTAGTTTTATCAGTTGCCATATTCATTAATTTCTTCCAAGGATCTTTCTAGTATTTGCCTTCGTTTTGAAATGCAGCAACTTCAATAAAAACAATAGCAGGATTTTTATGTGTAAAGCATGCTATATTTTATCGTAAAGTATGCTATATTTTTAAGATAAAAAAATTCTTGTTGTACACTAACAAGGTTATAAAGAAATAAAGAAATTGCAGTTCAAATTTCTTGGAATGAAAAGAAGGAATATTTTTCACTCAAGCAATAATAAAAATATTTCCTTATAAAGCCCTATTAATTTTAGCTTATAAGGCCCTTATAAGGTTGATGCCTTATAAAGTTCTCATAATATAACGGGCCTTATAAGGGCCCGTTAAACCATTTGTTACACATCTTGTAGAGCCCTTGTCTTTCTATCTCTACTATTAAAGCCCGATTAATGATAGGCAAAAATAATCAGGCCCTTACCAGAGCCCTATTAATTTTTCTACTCGGGTATTTCGACCGACAGACGGCAAGTCCGCGTCAATTCTTTCGCGCGGTGCGTTCTCTCGCAGACGAGACGCGCGCCGTTCTGCGAGTTGATTTACTCGCGAGATGAATTCGTTCTCGGGAAGATATATCTCTCGATGGGATTGCGTGCGGGACACGATCGGGGGTACCCAGTGCGGTATCTAATTTCCGGGCACGCGAGACTTCTCTCCAGGAGACAAAATAGAGAGATAAACGCGAACGTTGTCGCGATCGAGCGTTTCTCCGCGAGCGGAGAGGAAGGATAGAAAGAGAAGAGAAAATAGGAGGGAACGAAAAGCGAAGACGAGTCACCCGTTTCGTAATCGTTCCGATATTAATCGGACTTCTACTCCGGAGGGTGCGGGCGACTCTGTGACCTCGTTCGCGATCGTCTCCGACACCGGTCTGTGCGCGCTTTTTAATGCCCGATCGGAACGTTAATAATGCCAAACGCGGCACTGCGGAAGCCGCACACACGCGTCATCGTTCATTCTTGACGTGCCGCGCAACATCGCCGCGATTCTGCGTGTACCTTTTCATCGTGTCGGCGTCGTTGTAATGCAGGTAGCTCTCGCTGCCGGTGAAGCTCGGCACGGCCCTCTCGTATCTCACGGACGTCACGGCGTTGCTCTTGGCCGGCGGCGGCACTAGAGGCGTGTAGTCGTCCGGCGCGGGGCAAGGGTGTGGCACCCCCGGACGACATCGGCAGGTGAATCGCTCCCGAAGAGGCCGACACTCCGCGTCGCCGCAGGGTCTCGCTTCGCACGCGTGCCCGCAGTTGCCGACGTTCACTCCGCCCAACGCCTCGGCCAGGATGCCCACCTAATTGACGTACCCCCGCAATGGAAATCGCGTGCGATCTCTCTCTCCCCCTCTCTCTCTCTCTCTCTCTCTCTCTCTCTCTCTCTCTCTCACTCTCTCTCTCACTGCTCGTCCTCCTCGTCGGGATTTCTTCGAGTGAAATTCCCGTCGAGGAGCGGGATAGCTCTCGACAGTCGAGGCTGGATATACGCGGATGAGTGTTTTCAGGCGGAATTCAGGAGTGACTTTTCACGTGCTCTGGTCTAAGTGGAGCAAATTCACTCTAATCGACTGAAACATTCACTCGTATGAATTAAGAATCCACTTTGTGGCTGGAGTTAAATATTCCGTCTCACTCTCGCGTATGTGTGCTCCTGAGTGGCGGTATTTTCACTATCGTCTCGAGGGAATTTTCGCTCGTTTCGGGTGAGATTTCGCTCGGAGAAATTTCGAGTGCAACGATAGTGGCAATAACAGTGTGATAATAGCAATAATAAAATTGTCGGAATAACTGTCGGGTGACGCGGCGGCGATGCGCGAAATTTCACCGAGAGCTCGAGAGGGAAGACATTTGCCCGTCTTCACGGCAATATTTCGTTAAGATGGAAGAATCGAACAACGTAAGAATCAAAGAGGGTGAGCTTCAAAGGCAAACATGAATATAGAACGGCCAAGTGAATGATACAGCGCGAGGTGGGAGCCGCAAAATCAAAGCTTCGCTTGAGCGAGAACAGAAGCGTTTCGACCTTTATATTCGGGTCACTCTCGACCTATAAATTACGAGAAATTTCCAAAACTAAAATTATGAATCTTTCAGGACGAGAAAGCGAGAGAACACGCGCGCGCGGAAATGAGATAGCTGGGGATGAATTGCCGAGGAGCGAGAGAAAGAGATCGAGTGGAGCGAGTATTGAATTATGAGAATTCTCCGTGTTTGCAGACCCTGACGTGAAATGTCGGAGACGATATCGCGACCTGTCGGAGATGTGTGTTTCAGCGTGTTCTTTCTGTATACGTTTAACAATACACCTTACGTTCTCTCTGCCTCTTTCTCTCTCTCTCTCTCTCTCTCTCTCTCTCTGCGCCTCTCTCTCTCTCTCTCTCTCTCTCTCTCTGCGCCTCCCTAACCTCTATCTCGCGTTTATAAAATTCCAGGAGCGATAAATATAGAGAAATTTAAATCCGGTTAATCCGAGTGGGAGTTGAACGTCTTATCTGCAGGGCCAGCGAGAGATTCAAACTCGAGAGGCGACAGTTGCATCTACTGCGTAACTTCGGGGAGGCAGGCTGTATAATCCTGGGGTGTTCTTACCTCGCGATTATTCAGCACGATCGTCTGAATGCAGCCGACGAAGCTGGCCGTAGTTTTCATCTTCGGCGAATACATGTCGGACGAGGGCGCGCCGCCGAGATAGAGGTTCAGCGGTAAGGATAATTGCGTGAACGCTCCGGGCGCCAGGATTTCCTGGGCAGGACCGTCCTCGACTTCCAAGGACGCCAAGCGACCTGTCCTAGAGACCCGAACTTCGACCCATTCGCCGAGACGAACTGGATTCTCGCTTCTGAAACGATAATGCAAATAGCGAGCCCTCAAGAATGCAACAATCGTCAATCTCCGAAGAGCCCGCCGGCTATTCTCCGGCAATCTTGCCGGAAAATTTCCGCGAGGAAGTTTGCGCTAATCACTGGATACGGATCCTCGTTGCGAGAGCAAGTCACGAAGTAGTCACGTACGGAGAGCTCTCTTCTGCGGGGAAATCGATTTTTACCTCGACTCTAATTGACTCTTCCTTCTGTCTCCCGCTCCCCTCTCTCTGTCTTTCTTTCCTTTTCTCCCGATTGCGACTTCTTATATCTTTCTTTAATTGTGCTTCGATACAGCAGCAGATGGGTCTAACAATGTGTATCGCGACGACGATCGTCAAGAGTCATCCAGACTTGAAAAAAAGCATCAAGATCCCGACTCACGATTTTCCGACTCACGGCACAAATTTCCCTACGAACCAGGCAAATTTTTTATATTGTCACGGCTCTTTTCACTAAGAAAAAGGGAAACGGAGCGGGAGAGAGAAAGAATCACCATTTACCCCGCGGTTGCACCGGCTGCGTGCCATTTCAGAAACAGTCTGCACTTCATCCTTAATCTTTCCTTATTTTAGTCGAGAATTCCGAGTAAAAAATTTTCAGGTTCAGTGAAAGAGAGTTTTTATGACTTTTTCATCCCGAGGAAATGCAACATAAGATGCGTGCGCGCGCGCCGAGGAGCATCCGAAATTGCAAGAGGCGGCGGGAGGGATTCGCTTTTTTCCCCTCCCCTCCGAATTTCTAAAATCCAATTTTCCAGGAAATGAAGTCTTGCGCGAGAACAAATTTATCTCGTATTTCCCGCTGATTTTTTTTCATGAACAATCACCTCGCGCTCACTATTGTATTTCAATTTTGCCGGATATACCCCACGCGTACCCCACGTGTGTTTTTACATGGTAACCCCTTCCTCTGCCGTCTACCCTCCCCCGCTGCCACACCGGCACTCTCCTCGCCGAATTTAGCGGCGCACCGGCGAAAATCTTTCACACCCCGGAGCGATTGTACCTGCGCGTCGAAATGAGGCGCGGCCACGACCGGCGGACGCGGCGTCGACGTCTGTCGAAACAGCCGAGGGAGACTCGTGCTTTTTTTTTTTTTTTTAGATAATTGAAACGACGGCGGCACCTTTCGCCACGCGTCGCGCGCGCACGCGAGGCAATTAACGCGCGGCCGCCTCTCGGCGCGTTTACAATTATAATCGACGTTAACTCGATATCGATGGACGCTCCATCGATTTGATTTCGTCAACGACGCCCGAGAGACTGCGCCAGAGTCTGTCCGTCCATCCATCAGCCAGCCAGCCAGCCAGCTAGTTTGGAATTTTCCTCCGATCTCTCGCGTAGCGGCAAACGAAAATTCGCGCACGTACAGCGGCGCGGAAACTTTACGCGCCCGCCCGCCCGCAGACTCGGATCATTCAATTTGAATTTTGCGAAGAAGTCCTCGGCAGAGAGCGTCGCGAACAGTCTTGCAGACAATGAATTCGCCCTTGCGCGACCGCCGTGACGACGAACGCGCTCCTTCCTTCAGGGCAATTCGACAGAAGAAATTCTTGCATAATTAATGTCGAATGGGGAGAAAAGGACGACCAGGCAGGAAAGCAGGAAAGCAGGTAGGCAAGCAGGCAGGCAGGCAGGCAGACAGGCAGGTAGGGAGGGAGGGGGAGGAGAACCGGTGGGATTGCAGGCAGAAGTAAATTGCTAATTAATAAAGGAGCGAGATGGTCGGAAATTTTTATATTGGACTTTCCGCTTGGCGCTATTATGATAAAAGATACGGAGCACTTGGAGCTTCGAGACTCGCTTATTAACTCGCATATTTTCTTCTTTCTTTTCTTCTCTCTCTCTCTCTCTCTCTCTCTCTCTCTCTCTCTCTCTCTCTCTCTCTCTCTCTTTCTCCGTCTCTCTGTCTTTTCCTCTCCCTTCCTCCCTCCCTCCCCTGCCATTCTTTCTTACTTTCGTTCTCTAGACACGAGGTTAAATATCCCTGTTTAATGGCGCGCGTAATAATGCGCGTTTTTATGTCGCAGAAGAGTTTTGTGGAGGTCGCTTTTTATTTTGCGAGAAGATTGAGGCGGAACGGAGGAGAAGCGGGTGTATTTTTATGTGACGTTTATCGCCCGGTCGGTGCTAAATTCGCAAACGGCATTCGATAGTTGTTGAGCGAATAATCGCTTGATAAACAATTATCGGAATAGAGAATGGATATTGCATTAATACTATTAATAATAATAATATTGCATTAAAAGAACGTCTCGCGCGTTATTGATTATGCGCGCAATTAACGGGATATGCGAAAAATTATATATTGTATTTACACTGCTCAAAAGAATTATGGCATAGATAATTTATTGCCGAAAATTGGCCAACTTTGACTGGCGATTACTTCGCGAAAAATTATTGTAGACTAATGATTTCTTTTTTCAAAATGAAGCTTGAAGTCTCTACTTTAAGAATGTATTAGGAATGTATCTCCATTTTTTGCATGCGATGCTCCCCTATTCCTGTAACCCCTGACATCTGAGGACATGTTTGGTATATTGAAAATTGCAAAGTTTGACGGAATGCACGGACGTTTTTCGTTTTCTCGCACGACAATTTTTTTCGGGGACGCCGTTTGCATCGTCATAAAGTTCAAATCTTCAATTTGAAAAAAAAATGGAGTCGCTACAATTTTTTTTCGCAAAGTTACAACCCTTAAAAAATATCGTTGTTTTTGACCTTCAGGCCAAATATTGAAGACGCATCTATACGCACACACGACACGCATACACACGCACACACACACACGCGCGCGCGCACGCGCGCACCCATGTGCGCAGAAGGGAAGATTTGGAGTCAATAATTACTATGGAAGTGACGAACCACGAGGTCCTTATCTCTTCTGTCACAGACACACACACACACACACACATGCGTGTACACTTGGCCCGAAGGCCAAAAACAACGATTTTTGAAGGGCTGTACGCTAGAAAAAAAAATTTAATATCTTTAACAAAACTGTTTAGTTGAGGCATTTTTTAATAACAATCAAATATCTTGTTTTATATAACAAAATATTTAATTGTCTCAACTAAATATATTTTTCTGCTTTGTTCTCTGGACCAATTATTTTGTTCTTAAACTTCATATATAAAAATTAAGCATTTTAGTTATTTTATCCATAAAAATTACATAGTAACGAAATATTATTTTACATAAACTAAAATAATGCCCAATGGATACTATTTTGTCTTTCTGTGCACTAAAATTTAGATTTTATATATTAAGAAAAAATTATAGTATTTCTAACAAAATTGATATAGTTAAAGCTTTGGTTGCTATAACAAAAGTATTACGTTATACGAACAAACCGTAATCAAACAAGATATTTGTTTACAGGAACTAAACAGTTTTATTGGGCATATTTTAACCAAATTATTTTGTTGCTACAACAAAATCTTGGTTCACGCAACAATACATTTTTCCTAGTGTAACTTTACGAAAGAAAATTGTAGCGACTCCAAGTTTTTTCAAATTGAAGGGGAAGATTTGAACTTTACGACGATGCAAACGGCGTCCCCGAAAAAAATTGTTCACGTCCGTGCATTCCGTCAAACTTTGCAATTTTCAGTATACCAAACATGCCCTCAGATGTCAGGGGTTACAGGGGTAGGGGTGCATCGCGTGCAAAAAATGGAGATACATTCTTAAAGTAGTGACTTCAAGCTTCATTTTGAAAAAAAAATCATTAGTCTGCAATAATTTTTCGCGAAGTAATCGCCAGTCAAAGTTGGTCAATTTTTGACAATAAATTATCTATGCTATAATTCTTTTGAGCAGTGTATAAAGTGTTATCGCGAGCGCGCGCGCTTACTGATATATTTAATGGCGAAAATTCCCGATCCGCGCACACACGCGCAAAATTTCGATAATATCAACAAAAATCGCGGCAAGGAAAAACGGATTGAAATTCGTTGAAATATAAACGCGACCCGAAAATCCAACGAAGAAATAGCGCAAGAGATATATTCTGTAATAATACAATAATATATATTATGTATTTACGCGCGCAATAATGCCTGCGATATAACCTGTTTGTTTAATAGCGAACACACACGCGCGAGCGCTTGCAACGAAATCGACATGATGTTTGCCTCCCTTCCGGATTATGCATTTGTTTAAAATTTCATTCGATTGTGAAGTAGCAGTCGGATATTCCAATATTCAGATTATATTCAACGGAATACGAAGTAGTCAGATATTCAAGTCGTCAGAATGCGAATGCGAAATATTTCGCTGTGTCGTAACACGTTTCAGGAATCCCCGAATACGATTTAAATAATACGATCCGGCGTGCTACGCGTTAATTAATATCGCGAAATAATTGCGAACTATCTGCAACTCGAGATTAGACGTTAAAATGAACTGTATACGTTATATACGTAAAAGTAGCGAAAATGAGAACCTCGAAGATGAGAATTTTCAAAAGCCTCTCTCTTAAATGCTATTTACTGTGAAACACAGAAGGTACAAAGAGACGCATCGCTCGTACACGTTTGTTTCATAGTAATTTAGACACTTTTATGAATTATACGCATTGTCTCTCCGACAAAGGACACATCTTGTAAACGCGTCAACGAATCTCTACGTTGCGAGCGCTCGATTATAATCATCATTGGCAGACACACGCTCGCGATTGCAACTCACCCGCTCAATATTTATAGTGCCTCGTTCATTCCACGCAGTAGATTCCACGCAGCAATAACCAATAATCTGAACCGTCGTTCATTATCGCGAAGAATTGCATCGCGATTCGAGCGAGCGATTGGATCGGCATTAACGCTCGTTAACGTTCCCCGCTTCCCGCGAAATATCACGACGCGGCGCGTTACAATTTAAATCACGTTCCGCCGAAAAACTCGCGCGATATCGATTCTCACGTCGTATCCGAGACGACGTCCGGCGTTCGCTCGGCCGCAATCTCGCTCAATCACGATGGTCGATCAATTAATCGCGTCCGCGAGTCAAATCGTCATCGTCCCGGACAATCCCCGATCGGGGCTGGCGCGCGTCCACGTTCCGCTCTTCTTCCCGCGACATGACGCGCACGTCGTCGTCACGCCACGTCAACGCGAAAAAGCTCCGGCGTCTCGCGCGACGCGACGCGAGTTTCGTTTAATTAACGCGGATTGTTCGACGCTGCACATGCAAACGATGCAATTAGCGCCCGGCCGCCGGCGCGACGCTCCGCTTCCACTCCGCTCCGTTCCGTTCCGCTTCGCTCTGCGTCGCGTTGCAAGAAACGTCTATCGCGAAACGAACAGCTCGAGCGGTGAGATTGCGTCACACCTCGGCACACACTGCGCGGCACCATCTTCTGCTTGCGTGTTACGTCGTGAGAAACGGAGAGTAAGGAAAAGAGACGTGGAATGAGAGACAAGGAGATATATATATATATATACATCCCTCATATATATATATATGTGTATATATATATATATATATCCCTGCTATATATACATATATATATGTTTGTGTGTGTGTGTGTGTACATATATATGTAGAAAGAGCCGACGAAGTTCGTCGAGGACCATCGGCTTACCTCAAAGTGGCAGGTCCTGTACCGAGGTCGAAGGTGAACTGCACGTGGCCCGAGGAGAGATAGAGCGCAATAAAGTCACCGGTGGCGTCGCTGTGATGGCCGTTGTAGAGTATCACGCCGTCCTGCGCGGTCGGTTTTAACGTGACGGACAATTCCAGCCACGACAGCGACGTGTCCGCCAATCCCGGATAACGTAGGTAAGAGGATCCGTTGAAGGATGGAACCTGCGGGAATAAAACAGCGTCCGTGTGCGCGTGCGGTCTGAGATTGCATGGAAATGTCGTTACCGTGCAAATGCATGCCCGTTTTTGTCAACCGGCCGGCCGTCATTCGCCTTCACCGGACACCCTCCTCGCCGCTGTCGAGCGCGACGAACGCGCGCGCCGACGTTATTTGTTATGACGCGTGTTTCTTGTCCGAGAGTTAATAGAGCGGCCGTAAAACGGCGCGGGACGCGCCCGCAACGTTTGCTCGTCCCGTTTGTTCATTTGTGCCTCAGTCGACCCGCGGACGATTTTTACTCTCACGAGGACGCCCGTCGTCGTCGTCGTCATCCTCGTGGGTTCGAACGCGAATTTCCAACTTCCGAACGACAATTCGGGCAAAGAGAAAGAGAGAGAGAGAGAGAGAGAGAGAGAGAGAGAGAGAGAAAGTCCGCGAAGTATATCTTCGCAATTACACTTCCTTAAACTGTTTCGCTAATCTGCCCAAGTAAAACTCGTTCAATCATTTCGAGAGCACTCCCTTCGCCACATCGCGAACTACTCTTCGTGGAAAAATATATCGCAAACAGAGACGTCTCGTCGTTCAATCTTGCTCGTGACCTCGAGCGAGATTGAGAGCCGCGGTGTACACGTTTATTTGGACGACGCATTTCTTATCGTTATCACAAACGCGCGTGAAATCCTTCGTTACTCGCGCGCGCTTGAGAAAGCGCGTACGTTTCTCTCTCCCTCGTCCTCCCCCGCACAGCCGTTCGGACGGCGTAATAATTCTTCTACTCGTCGTCGAGCATAAAGCGAAGAAACTCTCGGAGCAGCTGTTGTTATTTAATTTACGGCCGGCGCGGGATTTTGCGCTTTTCGTAAATCGAAATGCAAATACGCTGTATGTCACTGTCTCGGATAATCCTTGATATAGCTGCATTCAAGTGCCTTAAGAGCGGTAAGAGAGGTCGAAGCGGGCCGCTCCCGCCTTAATGAGACTGCCTGGTAATTGTTTGTACGTCAGTTACCTCTCAAGATAAAGCGCAAAACGTAAACGCTCGCAGCGGGGGTCCCTCGCCGAATTATGGTGGTGGCTCGACGTTCCGCGAGAGACTCCAGCGGGGAATGTGAGATCATAAGCGCGGCAGCGCGTTTAATTATTATACGTGTATTTGCGAATGCGCATCATCGAGAGTTATCGACTTAATTATAAATACGCGACCGACGCATCCCCGAGAGTTCCGTGAAATTTCATCCCGCCTCGCCTCCAGCCCTCCCGCCCTTTGTAACACTTTTGCCCGATAAAGAATGACTGCATCCAAACTCGCGTTAAGAATGTATTAAACGTGTACGGAGGAAGAACGGAGAACGAGAGAGAGGGAGAGGGAGGGGGGGGGAGAGAGAGAGAGAGAGAAAGAGGGAGAAAGAGGAAACTACGGAGAGAACATGTATTATTCTTCCCCGCTATCTTAAATATTGAACTAGAAGGATAATGTAGCAAGCAGCAAGCTTAACACGTCTGCCGGGCGGGAGAGAGGGTGGTTGCTTAATTATAAATACTTTCGCAACCGCGATTCATGCGAGAAATTTCTTCACGCGCATATTGCCCCTCGAAACAAACGCGGGCTCTCTCTCTCTCTCTCTCTCTCTCTCTCTCTCTCTCTCTCTCTCTCCGAGGAGAAATAAACCCGGTTAACGCGTGGCAACTGATAAATATGCGGATTGCGGCAGAGTTATAGCTGAAGAGTTAACCGACTATAATTGAACTCTCGAGAGAGACGGGGAAAAAATCCGTCGCTTTACATTATTTCTTCCGCTCACGCGGCGACCTATTTCGCCGTTTCTGTAATCTAGCAGCTAATTAAAGACGCCGCGCATGACGTGTGCAAAAATCGCGGAGACGTGCGAGCGAGAGAGTTCATCTTCGGCTCGCTTGAACCTATCGCGGCGCTTTGCCCACGATTGTGAGCCCTGAATCAGAAAGAATCATAAATTGCGCGCGAGAAGTCACATCTTGTCTCATACTTCTACATCGACTAGTCGGTAAACTTCATAGACATACCTAGACTGCGAGGAGTGGGGGTAGAGCTCACGTAGAAAAGGATGCACTCCGTTTTGTCTGTACGTTCTCTCTCTCTCTCTCTCTCTCTCTCTCTCTCTCTCTCTCTCTCTCTCTCTCTCTCTCTCTCTCTCTCTCTCACACTCTTGATGGAAAGAGGAAGGCACTGTTTTTTTTATTTTTTTCCAATATAATAATCAATCTAGGTAACTGTCAGCCTTCAGCTCACCCCGAGGTATATACAGTTACAGCCGCCCCTTCCTTATTCCTCTTCCATCGAGAATATGTGAGAGAGAACGCACAGACAAAACAGAGTGCATTCTTTTCTACATGAGGTTTACCCCCATCCTTGAAATTTGGGAGAACGCGCAGTCTAGGTATACTATGTCTATGGACAAAACAGAGTGCATCCTTTTCTATTATACACGAGGTCTACCTCGATCCTTGGAATTTAGGAGAATGCGCAATCTAGGTATACTACTTGGGTATACTATCTATGGTAAACCTTGCCGCCGCGGACATAACCTCCCCATCACGAGTCGTAGCGCTTACAGCGGCGCGCTGCAGACTGAGCGACAAGTGAACGGCCGTGTGACCGGCGCCGCGCGACCTAGAAGAGTGGAGGCAAGGCCGCGTTCCTGAAACGTAACGCCGAGGAAAGGCTCGCTGCGGAATGCGGCAGGAACGCACGCTGCCGCCCCCACGCGTTACGTAATCCAGACAAACATGGCAGCTCGCCAATCGGAAGCGCGCTCCGCTCTACGCGCGATCGTAGCATATCTCCGGTTCTAGACATCGTAGCGAAATGAAAAGGAGACTGTTGGAAAGCTGAGACTTCAGCGCTCACCATAGGTGTATTGTCGTTTCCTACGCTATCAAGGAGACCAACACTAGCTTACGCTCGTAAAAGCCCGTTCGTGCTTTTTATCGCGCGTAACTTGAAAGCTGTCGCTTCCTCTGTCTGTCGAGTAATCTCGAGTGAAACTTTGAACTCGGAAGGAAAAGTCGCTTGTTAATGATTACAATAATCTTTGGAATATAAAACAGGGGACGTTTCGTAGCTACAGCGTTTATTCCGAGTCTACGCAAATGTCTCGAGATTTTAAAAAACGGCTTGTGATAACTTTGTTAATACTTCCAGAGCCGCTGAGAGAGACGTTACGCATAAAATGTAGCGTAGCTCCACGTCAGCGAGCGTGAATATGTTAAGGAAGCGATTTCGCGAGCTACGAGCGTGTTATCCGATGTGCGTAAAAGCCGCGGTCGCGTCGTAACATTTGCAACAATCATCTCCCCGTTTCCCCTTCGAATTTATTAAATTTCCTCCTCAGCGTGCTCAAAAGAGACCCTCGCAACGTACCTTCTACCGGATCGCCGGCGGCGGCGTCGGCGGCGGTGTGCGCCGTGCGAAATTTCGAAAAATCGAGACGAGCGAAAGCGAGCGATCTCTTTAAAGTCCGGCGCGAAGAGCGACGTAAATTAATTACGACGGGACGGCGACGGGTGATATCCTGCCAAGAGCCGGGCGGGCTTGTCGAGATCGCGAGTGCGCCGGAATGCGCTCCTTGAGAAGAAATTCCCGAGCTAACCCGACCTCGACGCCTATGCGGCGCGCTCGTTGGCCTCTTTTCCTCTCGCCCTCCCTCCCCTCCTCCTACCGCCGGTGCCGCCGTCGCCGCCGCCGCGTAAAAGCTACGTCCCGGTGATAAGAAGCTCCCGCGGGAGAGCCAGAGAGAAGTAACCTTGTATTATGCGAAGGACCAGGAACTCGGTCCCTCGGGGGACACCCTTTCTCACCGCTTACGACATCGTCCTTCTGTCCGGCTTATATGTCGCTCTGTGATGTTCACCGGCGCTTCCCCCGGCGCGCGGAAAGACCGCTGATGGCTTCACGAATTCTTTACGAGACCGTTCGCACCTACGGGGGACCTAACGGCGGGCGCGATGACGACAACGGCGGCGGCGGCGGCGGCGGCGGCGGCGGCGAAGGTGAAGACGAAGACGACGAGGACGAGGACGAGGACGAGGACAGCGCCGCGAGCGTTTATCGAACGCCGCTCGCACGTGCCACTCGCCGCCTATTACGGACAACGTAGGGACTAAAAATGTTATTCTCTCTCTTTCTCTCTCTCCTCCCCCATTCACACGACCGTTTGATCTTTAACGGTGACGCCTCGTTGATTCGATCGATCTTATTTCGCCGAGTAATTGCCGCGGAAAATGTTTCTCCCGCTCTCGCGCGCGCTCGTGAATTTTCATTATAATATTACATTTCATATTATAATATTACGTTTTAACGACAAATACGATATACCTTAAATGGACGGACAATTGTTTCACGATCTATTTTCCCGTACTGTGTTCCGAAAGGCTTGTTATTCAGCGTCGACACATCGGTTGCGAATTTATTATACGGATGCTAGTGAATCGTAATAATTTTATAATTTCCGCGGTCGCGGGAACAGCGGAATGTTCGCGTTTCATAATATCATTATAGAGATACAATCGCGGGAGGTAACAATTTGCGCGTGTGTGCATATCAGTATTTAAGAGTCGGAGTGGAAGTTAAATCGATGCTGTGTTACCGATTACGCTTCTCGTTTTACTATTTTGCCGGGGGAGTACGCTTTTTGCACTTTGGGTCATGCGTAATGCGGGGGGACGCGTTGAACACGTGTGTGAAGTTGGCCCCGCACTTTTCGAATTTTGTAATTTTTTCGTATCGTGCTGCATTTTGTGCTACGTCTGTGCCGTATTTTGGCACAAATTCGAAAAAAATTTCTTTCGCGCCATCAATTTTTACAAATTTCTTTTGCAATCTGAGTAGTTTTCGATAGATCTCTAAGTGGTTTCTTATTGTACTCGATTAGCACAATTCAGCACAACTTGCAGACTTGCGATAAATGCATTGTAGAAAAAGTTATTTGTATTTTAACTTTAACATTTTTTTTCTACTGAA